CTAATTAATGTTCAACTCCATAGCCTTGTAATTTTGAACTCAATCCAGAAAACAAAGGAACACCTGTAACAAGTATTGGGAAAAATTTACCTTCGTGGAGGAAGTTTTGATGGAACTAACCCGAATTTGCGGTTCACAGAGAGAAAAACCACGAAAACCTCACACGGTTAGCCTGACGGCAAAGGGAATCTAACCGATGATTCGTCTACCACTGAGAATAATTTTACGTCCACACTGTGGTCGACGCGAGTCGTGTGCGGAATTCCTATCGACCTGCCATCGCTGGGATTCGCATTGGAAGGCGAACGCACAATGCCCTGAGCCACCACGGCTCAAACAATATTGTTAGTTCATAAAAAGTTTATGGAAGTATCATTATTAAAATATTATGAATACACTAGCATTTAAAGGGTTAACTTTTTCCATAATCTGCCCAGGGAAAGTTACTGAAATTGAAACAATATAATTGCCAGGTTATCGGGCGAGCGGTCTGCGACTAAACTAGCAGAATCATTAATGGTTTAATTACAAAATTGATTCAGAACAATTGAGAAATAAAAATGGACAATCAAAAAATATATATTATTTTATTAAGCGGTATTAAGTACATCCAAAACAAATTGCAATTTCTCCAGACCAAAAGTCAATCTCGTTATATTTTAAAACAAATTAAAGATAATAAAAAAAATTCACAAGCGAGGTTTTTGATATTTGCTTTGCATGTTTTACTATTTCATTATTTTTTTTCTGTTGTCAGCCTCGTTAAATTTTATTCTTATAAGTCCTGACAATAATTGACTACGTAGAATCTGATTTTGGATTTTGTATAATCTTTTTTTATACGATATAGTTTGAAATCGGCACAAATTGTATAATACCTTAATTAAACTTTTATATAAAAAATCATTTAAACAGGAAATTTTTGTAAAAAAATTAATGAAACCAAAATTATTCAGATAAAGCTTCTTTTTCAACACTATTTTTTTTAATTTCTCATCAACTGCGAAACCAATGTTTTAGCAAGTCTTAAAAAATACTTAAAAAATAATGCAAGAACAAAGTAAAAACAGATTTCATTAGCCCAGAATGTTTCCTTCATTAAATGTTATAACTCAAGAAAGTAACATTTTAAAATCAATAAAAATAAAAACAATAAATTGCATTTTCGTGTGAGTTAATGCTTGAAGTCATTTTTACTGCTAATAAGGATAAAAGATAGTTTCATTTTAGTAATAGTTAAAATAAGAGGCAACTTCATGAAAAAGAGAAAATTCTCACATACAAGTAATAATTAAAATTGCTTTAACATTTATGCTAGATCATCATAACTAATCTAAAAAAAACATTAAATATAACACTTAAAAATAATAATTAGCATTCAATCTGACTGATTCTCGTAGTGAGTACAAATTTGTAAATTAACTTTACATTTTTAAACTTCAATATTGAGAAAATATTCTTTCAGAGAGATTTCTTTCTTTCAAAAAGATGAAAGCCAAATACTATTTAAAGCAGTATTCTATAAATTGAGTAATAAATTTTAAGAAATGAGGAAAAACTATGTTTTAACAAGATAAATATCTGAAAAGATACTTATCAACCTAAAAAAATCATATTGATACTCAATAATACAATATGCTATGCGAAATCTTTATAAGCTAAAGTATTTTTCTAATGGTTATTACAGAATCTGAGTTGGTAGTATTTGATGAGCTCGGCTACTTTTTGTAGTTGAGTAGAATTTTGATAATTTTCAAACAGATTTTTAGGTGGTTTAGTGAAACCTCATATGCAACTTTTGGATCTAGCGCTTCATTACACTAATGTTTCTTTACACTATTTTTGTTACTCAATAACAATGACATTTATAATTGCAGAAAGACACGCAGACGAATTCGAACTAGGCTTAAGAGAACATAAGAGTGGATCGAAATGGTACGCTATAAAATCTGTTAATCCAGTTTTCAGAGATTTACAAATATAATTATCCTTATTACACAACAAAAAACATACATACATAGCAAGCGACGACGGATTGTTGATTCTGTTGACAATACCAGAGTTGAGAATTACGACAAACGTTTGCCATTTTCCTCCAGATTGTAAACAATCTACTCGCGATATTCTACTTAGCATTTCTTGATATTCAAAGCTCGTCTAGTGACAACTTTGTTTTCGGAAGTGAAAATATTTCTCTTCTGGTGTTAAAAGCGTCAAAGTTTGATGCAGGGTTATCCAATTTTAATTGTTTAAATTACACCCTTTAATTCATATATGAAAGCTGGATTTCGGTGTTAATCCATAATAAAGTGTTCCTTCACAAAATTTTTTGGGTTGATCAAAATCGTATTTCGAGAGATATTTCATCACAGTTCTTACACTGAAGACTCGGTATTCAAAGATTTCTAGTAAATAAGCTCAATACTATTAAATCACTATTATTAAATAAAAAATCACTATCATAAAACTAAATTATTTTTAAATAAACTTCGTTTATATCCTAGGTACAGTACAGTACTTTAATTTGTGTCACACTAGAGATGCACAATGGGATAGTGGGAAACACCCCCAATGATGATCCGGAGACAACATACATACTTCACATCCCGTTTTACCGGGAGGACACATTCACACACCATCCACAAATCGTAGTCTTGACCTAAACCAGAGCTCGATCAATCTCTGATCCAGTACCTCCAGGGGTATTGATTTGTTATGAAAACTTGGAGGACTTTGTGACTTCAACAGATTTAGCGAGCACCGATCACCATTTTGTACACAGGGAGTCTTCGGCTGGTGGGGATCGAACTCATGACCTCTCGAACATGGGTCTAAGGCTCTACCAGCCAGGCTATCTGGACCGGTTTTTATCCCAGGAATATCTCCCCATTGAATTGTAAATCTCCATTTGTTGATTCTTTTTTGATAAGAAAAAAGGTTTGACACGTTTTTTTAATCGTAGTAGACTAATAAAAATATAATAATATAAAAATGATTAATCATGTTATAATTTTAATCTTATGTTATTGAGTAGACTAATAAAAAATGAGAGTATAAAAATGAATTATGTTATCATTTCTTTCCATATCATACTATATAGTTGATTAATAGTGGTATAGTGGGTTTCCTAAATACCACTATTCTTAGACCCATGCGCAAACTAGTTGATTAAGTGTTGTGAGCAGAATAATTTTTTTCCCCTTATGCTTTGATTGTTGTTGTTAATTTACGTCGCACTAGAGCTGCACAATGGGCTATTGGCGACGGTCTGGGAAACATCCCGGAGGATGATCCGAAGACATGCCATTACAATTTTGATCCTCTGCGGAGGGAATGGCTCCCCCGCTTCGGTAGCCCGACGACCTGCGCGCGAAGTCGAGCACTTTACGGTAGCACAGTTTAACGAGGACCAATACCGCACACCCTCGGAGACTGATCCAAGTGGTCACCCACCCGCACACTGACCGCAGCCAGTGATGCTTGACTTCGATGATCTGCTGGGAAACGTGTCTTAACGATCAGTCCACTGCGGGACCCCCTTATGCTTTGAAGAATAAGAAAAAATTATGACAGACACCTTGGGACTCGCATATAGGAATGAGAGAAAAACTTAAATATTACTCTCTGGACAAGTGAGATGTTATTTTTGATGGATGTTGAAACAAAATTTATAAAACTCAAATTGGAAGTTTAAAAACTGTAAATCCGAATAGCATGATTCGAATCAGTGATCTGAATCACTTCCAAAGAAAGTTATTTGAATCATTGATCCAAATGACATGATTCGAATCCCTGATCTGAATCACTTAATTCGAAAAGTGATCCAAATGACATGATTCGAATCATTGATCTGAATCACTTAATTCGAAAAGTGATCCAAATCAATTGATTCCAATCACTGATCTGAATCACTTGATTCGAATCATTTCTCCAAATCACATGGTTCCAATCTAATTTGAATAACAGATTCGAATCATGTGATTCCGATTACAGATTTAAATCATAAGATTCCGATTGCTTATAAGATTCCGATTCGAATCTTGCGATTTGGTTCAATATTCGAATCAAGTAATTCATATCAGTGATTCGAGTTACGCGATTTTGATCATTATTTGAATCAGGTGATTCAGATCAAGTGTTTCAAATCACTGATTCGAAACATGTGATTTGGATCAAGTGATTCCGATCAGTGATTCGAATCATGCAATTTGGATCAATGATTCGATTTAAACGATTCAAATCAAATGAATCGAATAACTGATTCTTATGAAGTGATTCACATCACTGATTCGAATCATACGATTAGGATCACTATTCGAATCCGGTGATTCGGATCTCATTTCGAATCTAGTCAGTTGGATACACAGATTCAAATAACATGACTTAATTGTGAACCACGTGATTCGAATCAAATACTTAAAAAAATTCTAAATTGCAAAAAAATTCGAAAAAAGTTTACTTATTTATCACTATTTTTCTTTTAACTAATGTCGATAGAAAAAAATTTATTATTCTTTCTCATTAATGAATTCTTTCAAGTTGATAAATATACTTAGATCTTTCGTATAATTACGAGTATATTGCATATGTTGCTAATTGCTATAAAGACTTTTAATTATGGTAAATTTTAAGAAACTACAAAAGAAATATTTAAATTTTTTTCTGAATTCATCGAATTCTTTAATCGAAAAATTTTAAGTCCTAATAATGAATGCGTAAAAATCTCTTAGGTTTTACAAGAAATTTTCAACTGTATATGGCATAGCATCACTGTGAAACAGAACTTATTTAAATTCAAGAAGTAATTATTCATTATAATTTAAATCTATTTCGGTCCCGCAGTGGACTGATCGTTAAGACACGGTTCCCAGCAGATCACCGAAGTCAAGCATCACTGGCTGCGGTCAGAGTGCGGGTGGGTGACCACTTGGATCAGTCTGCGTAGGGACCGAGGGTGTGCGGTATTGGTCCTCGTTAAACTGTTCTACCGTAAAGTGCTCGACTTCGTGCACATAGCGCAGCTCTATTGCGACGTAAATGAATTACAACAACAAATCTATTTCAATAAAAACAATTCTATTGATTCGAATCACTTTAGATGATTCGTTTTGCCCAACTCTACTTCAGAAAATGCAAGTTCAGTCGAATGTTTTCCTCTACAGTGACGAGTGAAACAACCTAGTACTACTATATGTGCCGGTCAATTATTGAAAGATTATTTTTGACAGTTTGCATAGTCTTTCATATCCAGGTATCAGTGGACTAGAGTATTGATAAAGCAAAGATTTATCTAGCCGTCAATAAACCGAGATGTTGCGCACTGAACACGTTCTTGCATCAACTGTCAAAAGTCGAAGGTTCAAAGACATACTTAATAGCCCTTTGCATATCTTGAAGTTGCCTGATCATCTGTTCGAGCACATCCATATTGATTTGGTTGGACCTCTCCCATCTTCAGAAGGCTATCATTACTTGCTAACATGCATTGATCGCTATACTCGATGGCCTGAAGTCATACCCATCCCTGACATATCGGCTGAAACTGTTGCAAAATGTTTCGTTACTGACTAGATAGCCTAATTTGGAGTACCAGCTGTAGTTATAATATACTCCAGCTGTAGCCAGCTGGAGTACAAGCAATCAAGACCAACAATTCATGACAAAACTGCTATCTTCCATACTAGAAATAAAAAGAATCCGTACCGCACCCATATCAGGCTATGGCGAATGATATGATCAAATGCCTGCATAGAACCTTAAAGCAAGATATTATGTGCCGTAACAAACTTTGATGAAACGTGACTCTTCCTATCGCTCTCCTAGGATCAGATCAGCATTCAAAAGATGACTTCAAAGGTTTCTGTTCTGAAATGGTTTACGCCTACACAGCCAATTTTTCAAACCTTCCACAAACCCAGAGAAGAGCCAACTTTCATCGAAAACTTGTGGGAGACAATGGAAAAGCTTACACGCGTTCCTCCTACGGATCACTCCAACCAAATCTGTTTTGCGCATCCTGTGTTAAATGATTTTTCGAAAAGATTGGGCCAAACCCTCATTGACTCCTACATATGACGGACCTTTTCAGGTACTTTCACGACAAGGTAAGCATCTCACTTTAAAAACTGGATCCCGCATAGCCACAATCAGTATAGATCTTCTCAAGCCTGCCTTTTTGGAAACATCCATTCCTTTGAATCCTTCAAAACCTGAATATCAACCTCATTTGTTTACTAAAAATGGTAGACAGGTAAAATTGAGAATTCTTTAGTTCCATATCTCCGGAATATGGAGGGGGAGTTTGTGTGGTGTAATTAGCATACTAGGCTTAAGTACCAAAGTTAGTGACCTAGCAAACCTCTAAACTTCGATGTATCTTCTATACATTCTCTGTAATCTCCTTCCTGAAGTATAACGAACTGAACTAAATTTTAAGTGGTAGAAATGTATATATACTTTTGTAAAATTTTGTTCCTTCTCTGTTTTTGCGCTTTGGTTTGCACTTAATCTTACGTTCTACGTCTTTGATTATAATCCAGGGTGCTTTTAATTTTACAGTTAAAATGTTATTAAAATTATGTTTAAATTTCGCATTTCTCCTTTATTATCTTTGACGATTGATCTATTAAAAATGCAGGATTAAATACAGGCAACCTATCTTGCCAAAAGTTTGTCAACAGATGGCAATGCTAAATAGAAAACTATAAAACTACGTTTCCTGCTCCATGTCAGACTATTCCAATTAAAATGTTTAGGCAAGTATCTGTTAGTTTTGACCTCAGAATGAAGCAGCAAATGGTAGCTGTTACAAATGGTTGCTAGTTTGAAAACATTGTTTCATAGTCCTTCTAAGTCAGCAGCATCCTCTGTTGACAAACTTTGTAACTAAAATACTTGTTTTTCTTAGCAGACTGTTCTGTTTCCATTTTTATTTAATTGAAATTTCAAATCAAATGTTAATTTGTCTTTTAGCATTGAGTTTAAACAATAAAAAATGCTTCTTTTTATTTCCATTCAATTTTTTTAAAAAAAATACTCACGAATAATTTTTATATCACATTCAAAATTGTAAAAATTTTAATAAAGTTATTTTTAAAACTATCTAAATAGATCTTCGCATGATTTCAATAAAAACAATAATGGGGATATATTATATGGAAATTCTTTTAAGTTGACTAATTTCTGAATGCCATTTTTTAAATTTATCAATACTGATATAATTTTGAATAGATCTTCTGCCTTGCTTTCATCACAACTTTCATCTTCAGAACTTGAGGAAGAATACGTCACAAGATGGAAGTTATTTTTTTTAATTTCTTCTCCTTCATTATTGGAGTTTGTATTTACAATTAAATTCTCTTTCATTTCAACACTAGAATCTTTGGCACTAGTTGATTCGCATTGAGCTTGTTCGTTATTAGACTTGCTTTGGTCATCTGCAGGTTGACATTTCTCTTCCCTACCGGTATTTGCAGAAATAAATTTTTTGTCAGACATAATCATAACATAAGTTTTCAGAAACTGATCTTTCTCATTCAAAAGCAATTTCAAATACTCAGTTAAATATAGCAAACAACAGGTTTCATCAGAGACGAGAAATGATATAAATTCATTATGATCACAGCCTAACAACTGCAACAACTGGATAAACAAAGCGTGAGGATTGATGTCGTGTAGGAGAAACAGCTGAATAGAAGACTGTTCAGTTCTGTAAGGTGAAAAACATAATTACATTTTATAAAGCAAATACTAAAGAATACAGTAAAAACCTGATGCAATGACAATAGTGCATGTTGAAGTATAGAAATATTCAGGAAAATATAGACAAAACTTTGAGAGAAAAAGGAAAGTTTCTTGTTTGTTTTTATTTATTTATTTTATACCTTAATAATTGAACCTTGGACAATATAATGATAGTATTTAAAAATTAACCAAGAATTTTTTTGTAATTTTTTGAAAAATAGCACTAGCTTTATAAAGAAGATACAATAATTCTATTTATTATAGTGTTATCTTGTGGAAATTTAAAAAAAAATTTAGGAACCTACTTGAAAATAATTAATACCTAGTAATAATTTGATATATAAATGTTATCTTTGGTGCAAAATGAATAATCCTTCACCCATTCTTTTTTTTCTTTCTGACTGATTCTTTATTTTTTACATTTTTAGTAAAAAACACTTGTTGTTCACAATTTATCATGTCTTCCACCATAGAAAAAAATAGACAATTTACTCAATGCTTGCGTCAGATCACAAAATCATATATTTCTCACATTATTTTAAAATGAAACACTTCTTTTTTTATCAAATTTCCTTTTTGACCTCTCTTTATAAACTTATAAAATAAACTATTTTCCACTAATCCTTAATTTAATCAAATTTCCCTTTTGGATCATTTTTTTAGTTCATTTATAATGCTTTAAAACATCTATTTTCAACTAATTCCTATTTTTATCAATAAATACTTATTTTTGACAAATTTAAATTTTTGGCCTTTTTTGGATAAACATTCATAATCTTTTAAATCAACTATTTTTTGCCAATTCCTTAATGAAAATGATTCATGGTATTCAGAAATAGAAATTGAGAAAATTTAGCCACTAGTCCATAAGAGCAGTCAGTAAAAATTTTCTTAAGTTTGCTTGCATGCATCTATGAGACTTTTCAAAAAGTAGTTTATAAACTAAATTTTTATGATAAAATACAATGCAAAAAATGAGAAATGCTCACAATTATTTATGATAAAATATGCTATTTTGTGACAATAATACAGGCCAAAACAGGAAACTGAAAAAACCAAAACAGAATACCATTCCTACGTTACATCCATTCGCCGGTCTACATTGACTGTTGGTTCGGCATATCACTACACTAATAATTACTTTATGGTGATCCGCGTCAAATTTAAGTAGTCCTAGACCAATGGACCTTACATAAATACAGTCGTTAATTTAGAGCCCGGATTATTAGATGTTATAAAATTGACTTGAAATTTTTTTACCTCAGAAATTAAAGAAGTTCATAATGCATAAATCTCTATCAACTAATTAACAAAGAGAGAGAATCTAACAATAAAAACATTCAAAAAGCAGACAATGCGTTTTTTAATATGCCGAAAAGCATTTAATCAGAGACAGAATGCACATTAGCTTTTAATTTTTCTTCTTCTAGAAATAAAAAAGTATTCCTACCTATTTGAATTTTTAAAAAAAAATCTATATCATACACGTGTTTCAAAATTTTTTTTTTCTTAAAATGCAGGAGAAAGATATAAATAAATGTATTTTATTTCCTAGAACTGCTTTGCTTGCTCTAAAAAAATAATTTGGCTAGAATCGAAATCTTTTTATAATAATGTTTCCCACTGTTCTTATCATAAAAGGGTTTTACTGTAAATCATACACTATGGTAAAGCAAATCGAAGATGTAAAAGTTATAAAATACTAAGTGTTTTATAATTATTCAATAGTTATTTGCCATATTTTGTTTTCTATAAATACCCTTAAATTGTTGATGGCTTTTAAAAAATGCTTCTGCAATTAAAATATACCTATAAAATAAGTAATTAAGATTTAAAAAAAAGATATTGGGTATTATTATTTTTTTCACATTTCATATAAACTTTTAGGGGAAAATGAGATACATATTTTTTGATACCTGAAAGTGGTGAATGTTTATGGAGAAGCATCATGCTAAAGCTGAAGGCTTCCTTCAAGCTTTAGGAGAAGCATCATGCTTAAAAAGAAGTATCATGCTAATGTAACACTGCGTAAATGCTTATTTAAGCAGCGATACATTAGCATGGCACTTATGCTATCACTTAATGCTAATGAACTGTATCTTCTTGAGAAAAGCCACTTAGTAAAATAAATTTTTAATAGGGTTAGTAAAATTTTAAAAAAAGTTATAACATGAGAAAAAATTTTTTGAGAAAGAGGTAACAGAGCTGACAAAAGGGTCCTTTTAAGAATAAAGAAAGAAATTTTAGGAAGAGGGAAGATGACATTAACAGAAATATTATTTTCTTTAATTATTGTTTTTTGACTTTGAGAGAACAATTAGTTTTGCCTAAAGTAAGTAACTAAGACGATAACTAAACAGTGAACAGCATAAAACAAGGTACTCCGACCTCTAACATCTCCCTTATTTTATATAACATTACAAGTAGAAAAAAAATTAAAAGAAATTTTTTTTTTTACTTAGATGAAAAAAAAGGAAAAGATAAAAATAAATTTCTTACAAGAATTGAAAATTCAACAAGCTTTTTATGAATAAAAGAATATTAATGGAATCGAAACTGATACACTATGCATTTTAAAATCAAATAAAATAATGGAAACTAACAATTACCTAATATTGTTCTCATTTTGTAGGTTCCTATATATCCTTAAAGATGCTAGCATAACACCAAATAAAAGATCATCATCATCTAAAAACATGTTGACTAGCCAAAGAGGTGCAAGCATACTTTTATGATTAATAAAAGTTATTATTTTCTGATATGATTCACACAGTAACTGCATATTCTGAAAATCTGAAGTATAACAAAAACAATTATTTCATTACTACAAACAGAAGTAGGTAGAGATATGATGAATTTAAATTTTTCTCTAAAACAATTGATGTTGGTGATTTTTTTTCATGCTTGCACTAATTTAAAAATAAATAAATTTTTATATAAAAAGTCAAAGTTTACCATTATCTGAGATTGACCCTAATGCAACACTTGACATAAGTAAGAAGGTTGAACTCCGACCCACCCCAGGGGGGTATACGGAGATAAAAGTAAAATTATTACAATAAAATTTCTCTAAAAACTAAAGTTACAGTAAAATTTCGCCAAATGACAGTGGTGGTGATCAGTTAAAAGTGGATTAACAATAAAGTTTGACAATTAAAAACATGTGTTAAAGGCAATGAAACCCAATAGCGCCGGTGTAAATGTCGAGAATTAAATGATTATAATAATAAGGAAACAAGAGATAAAAAATCTCAAAACTAAAATCAATGAAAGCTAAAAGTCCAAATAGTAAATGTCTAAAAGTAAAAGTCTGACTAGAAGTCTATGAAGTCTAAAATCAAAAGTAGATAAAAATTCAAAATGTAAGGCTAAAAGTTGATTAGTAAAAATTAACGATGACATGCTCTATTGTTGGTTCATGACTGGGGCCAGTTGATCTGGGGCTAGAATGTCCTCGAGGGTTTGTTTAATAATTTGAGTCACAATTTTCCTGCAGGTCAATATAGCGAAGAATTGATGTTCCTCTTCGCAATTATTCATGTGGGTTCCACGAAGTGCCCGGAATCTTGGACAGTGCTTAAGTAGATGATCAATGTCCTGTCTCACTCCACAGTAATTGCATGAAGCTGATTTTTTGAAATATTTTTGTTGATAGGTCCCGAACACTCCGTGGCCAGTAAGGAGCTGGTTTAAATAAAAATTGGCCTGCAGGCGCTTTATGCTTGGGTCTTTAAAAAATTTATAGGTTTGTCTTCCCTTGTCACTAGACCTCCAGTCATTTCTCCAGCGGTTAAAAGTAATGTTCTTAATGTAAGATTTAATTTCGCATTTTTCACCCGGGATCTCAAAATCAATCTGGCCAAGCTTAGTGGCTTCCTTAGCAACCCAGTCGGCCTCTTCATTCCCTTCAATGCCTGAGTGTGCTTTAATCCAATTTATATTATAGTTGCTACTCCACATGGCTTTGGTGTCTTCTATAAGTTTGAGGTGTTTACGTGGGTCCTCCAGGCTCATAAGTGAAGAAAGGGAATCTGTGTAAATGCTTGCCATTGGAGAACCCTGGTTTTTAAGCCATTGGAGCGCTGTCTGTATCGCAAGGAGCTCAGCCAGATAAATACTGCAGTTGTTATTTAAACGCGCCGAGATGGTACTGATGGTTTTGCCATTTATCTTCATTACAACACCATATGCAGATTTATTTATAAGTCTACCATTGTTCTCAGTTTGAATTCTCGACCCGTCTGTGAAGATTTCAATGCCATGGTTAGTTGCCAATGCCATTTCCCCCAGGGCAACGCGAGAGAGTTTGAGGGATGAACCAGTTTGGGAGGTAGTAAGAGGTGATCAGGAAAGTACATATGATTTTCAAGCCAATTTATGTCTTCTAACCTCCATTTCCAGATATTTCTTTTAATGGAAATCTCGTCAATTATTTTATAGTAGATTGGTTTTACCCGAATCTACTATAAAATAATTGACGAGATTTACATTAAAAGAAATATCTGGCACTTGACATAAGAAAAATCGATTCACTATTGAACCATAACAAAGCATAAATTTGCTGCAACTTTGACAGGCAAAATTGAACAGCGTTTTCAAAGTAGTTAAAGATACAATTGCAAAAAAAAATAATATGGATCAATATTATGACTGATTCTGCATAAAAAAAGGAGCTTGATTCATAAATCAAAACTAAAATGGTCCATCCCATATTATCTTTGCAGAAGTAAAGTTGGAAAGCCCAGATACTTGTGTCTTAATGTATAGCTTTAAAACTTCGGGAAGGTAGAGAGAGTATCTTTTTACCAAAATAGTCGCCAAATTGGCCATGAATCCACTATCAATGAATGTGCCTTTTCTTTGCTCACAAGTTTTTATTGTGTGCTGCAAAAGTGTGTAAAGTGCCATGCTGAAATTTGAGGAAAATGGTGCATAGCACTAATTATAGACTAATTATTATTATAGCACTAATTACTATTTTCAGAGCAAAATATACACAAGAAACACACACATTTTCATCTAAAAGACATTTTTCATTTCTACAGTGATATCGATATTAGGACGCAAAATTGAAACAACAGAAAATGAACACAAAAATTTCTAACAGTGTATGCAGAGACTCCAACAACTATTACAGATTCTCTGCAGTTTCGTATTATTTTTTTTTCACTGTTTGTGAACTAAAGCCAAATTTCTTAAAACAAACAGATACGTTTTTAAAAAATTAATATATCTCGAGAGGATTCTGTGATTAAGCATTCATCTTTATGATTTTATATGAATCTGTCTAAATTTTGTGTGCCTAATGATGGACAAAATCCTTTGAATTTTAATCTATTAAAACATAAATACATTAACCTTACTACCACTAGGAAAATTTTAATCCTGAAACTACTTAGCAGTTGGAGTCTCTGATGTGTGTATTCTTTCAATATAAAAGCTAACATGAAAAAGAATAAAGAAAAAAGTTAATAAAAGTCTTAAAATCTCAAAAGAATGAATTGGAGCTAAATATTTTTTAATAATCTTAAAATGCAGAACGACAGTAGAACTAATTTATAATTATTGGTTAATTAAATATTTATAAAAATAATTTAATGCAGTCAATATACTTCGACAAACGACACAACTATTCATAGCTCATTGCCGTTTTTACTAAAACGAGAATGATCCAGGTCAAAGGTTTGACTAATCACATGATTGTCATGATAAAGGAACATGTTTAAGCACCCGAAACATGTCTACTATTTTTACGAAAAGTTTGAAAATTTTTTCAATCCTGAACTTTAAAATGCATTTATGTTTTGCATAATTTATTAATAATTTTGTAAATGCATTATGTTCACTCCAGCTATTCTAGTGTTAGTAGAAAATAAAGCTGAAAAATCTTCTTCCTATTATTACACATAGGTTAATGAAAAAAATATGAACATTTTCAGAAGGATAATTTAGTAAAATCTTACAAAGTATTTCTTAAAAATGGGATATTTCATAGAGGAGGGTACAGATAAAGTTAAGGTGATAAAATGACATGTTTATTAATTAAATTTATGAAATTTATTCTATTTTTATTAAATAACTTATTTTTTACAAAACGGGAAGAAAACTCTAAACAGATTCAACATTTCATGATTTTATTTAAGATTAAACTAAGAAAACAATTGGATGTAGATGTTAACTAGATTATTTAGAAGGTATTTTTGATAAATAACAACATAAATTTACAAATTATCTTTCACTAGTAACTTACCAGCTAGCAAATTCATCAGAATAAAAATAATTTTCTTTTCAATTGCACCAATTTTTTTCTCAACTTCATCTGACATGTTTATAGAACTATAAAAGAACCAAAAAGTAAGAAATGAGAAAAAAATATCAGAAACTACGATTGTATATTATTTACAAAAAGAGCAAGTTTTGATTTTTCATTTTCTGAAAAGTCTAGCAGAATTTAGCATGAAAAAAAATTATTAATGTTTTGAACCATATAATAAATTTTGAATACATTTTTTGAATATATAAATTTAGTTTTTTTTAACCAACAATTTGTTTATGTAAAGGAAACCTCTGATTAGTTGTGATTTGCTCGTGCATTACTAATAAGTACTAAGAGATAAATTTTTATTTCATTATTGAATTTAATTTTAGTAGTTTTTTTTCTATTCCTATAGTTTATTTGATTTTTGTATAATTATACAAAATTCATCATCAATTTAAAATTTATTATTAATTTCCAGATAAATAAATGGAAAGATGAAGCCTCATATAGATGAAGTACCATATAGATTGCACCAGAACAGATCAGTAATGAAAATGAGTCAGACTTTGCAACAGGTGTATCAGAAACCAAGATTATAGACTAATGGCCTGAAATGAATTGTACTTAATACTGTTTACTTTTTAAAAAAATTATTAACTCATAAAATATTTTATAGTCTTTAACAGTATTTGTCATGAATTATGCAAATTACCTTTAGTAATTTGCTATTAACCTTTAACCAAATTACCTTTAGTAATTCGCTATTTGGATCAAATTTATTTTAAAATAATAGGGATGAATGCAAAGCACTGAACTCATTTAGTTGCTCCTACACAAGCTAAAGAGAAAATGGAATCTTCACTGACTGTCTGTTAATAGATTTTTGTGAATTTATTGGTGAAGCAAACAATGAAATAATATCAAGACAATTCTTGAAGATTGGCACAGGGCACAGGAGCAGAAACCCTCCAGCGCCACAGATTATTTCACCATCTACAGATTATTTTCCAACTAATTTTCCTTTTTAGTTTCGATAAGAAAACAAACAGTAGAAATTGTTGAGATTCCTCTTTAAAACATCTCTAAACTTGTTTCTAACAAAAATTAAGAAACTGAATTGGAAGAACACCCTAAAGAACTAAAAGTAAAAAAATATTCCTGTTATTTAATAACAGGCTTAACTGCATATAGATTTATTTCATTTTTTAGTATCATATAAAATTCAACTTTAATTTAAGCATATAGTTTGCATGTATAATTTTTAAGGATTTATATTAGCAAATTTTAATACATGTATATTAGATAAAGCTGAATTTTTTTACAATTGTAATCAATGATGGACAACGTTGAGGTGGTTGTCAAATTTAGATTAACGAAGATAGTGCTGTAGATTCACTCTGTAAATTCTGCTATCAGAGAGAAGGGTACTCGCAACTTCACCCATTACTTGTAATAGATTTTTTCTTAAAAAAAATTTTCTTGCAGTGACATTTTGAAAATTAAATAATAAAATATTAAAAATATTTGAAAAAAGTTTTAAGAATAAATTAAAATTTAATTAAACAATTAAAAGTTTGAAAAAAAATTGCAATTGAAACAAAATAATTATATAAATTAAGTAAATTAAACAAACATTAAATATTTAATATACAAAGAGTATCTAAAGAAGATATTGCAATACAATAATATTTAAGCATTGAGCTTAACTTCCAACATGTAAAAACAAGAAATTTCAGCTAAACAAACTTACATTTAATTTACATGTTTAAAAAAAAGAAGAAAATTAATTAAAACTTAATACCCACAAGAAGATGTTTTTTTAATGGCACTGCAAAATTCTTGGTCATTTGTCGATAATGACTCTAAAAGACCACTCGTTAAAACAGTAGTTACTGACTTTTCAATGAGCATATAATCATCACCTTTCCATGGTCTGCATTTCAAGTTGGAAGAAATTATCTGAAAACAACATAATTATACTTAAATAACAGTAGCAAAATAAATGAAACTAATTTTAAAAGTAGCTACAATAAAATTTTAAGTTACTCATGTTTGATTTACAATTAATTTGCAATATTCTTAAATCTGATAGAAAAAAAGAAAAATTTAGACTTAATAAAAGATTTCATTTTGAACTTTAAAATAGTGGATATTGTCGTTTTAATACCAAGTTAGTAAATTCCTATTGCTTTCAATATTTTCCCTTCTTTTTTAGGGTATGGTTGAAATAGTGTTCCAAGAAATTTTAAACTTCAACTTTATATCTTTCATTTAGATGGTCAGATTTTTATCCACATTATTAATTTTATAAATCAAGTTAAAATTATTTAACTGCCCCATCCCTCCCCAAAAAAAGACATCTTTATTAATAAAAACTTTATTTCTGCAAGCTTTAAGAAATGAAACTTAAAAAATGTGAATAAAGCTTGATGGGTTCAAATAAATAAGACAATACTGAACACATGCATGCGCAAATAAAAAACAACCAACCACCCTGAATAAATCGTAATCTAATGATCGGATCTTCAAGTTCCAGAACTCAATCTTAATGGTTTGAGAAGATGTCCTCAAATAACTAATTAGTTCAGATGCTATTCTAAAGTACGAAATCGGAAACAAAAGCATACTTTCTCTAAATAAGCATATCTTTTTATGTCCGATTTGAATTTCTGACCTACAATATATAGTCCAATAAATAGTCCCAATCTAGGATGTATGGTCCCAACAGTTTGATTAGGAGAGAGGTCCAAAGTTTGGAACCTTTAATGTTGATTTAATATTCTGTGTATTATGCAATATCAAAAAGTTTCTAAGCAACTTAAAAAAAATTTGCAAACAATTATAAAATTAGTTTATCTAAAGTTAATACCATACAAAAAGTAACTTTTAGTGAGTATTTATCATTTTTTATTATATTATTTAATAATTTTCAAAACAAATTTTTGTAAGGTAAGTAGTGTTTTTTTACATAATTTCAAAGAACGTTATTTGACATAGCGAAATACAAAATTTCAGCAAAATCAATTCAAGAGAAATCAAGTTTTAAACATATGAATTTTTAAAAATTCAATTTTGCAGAAGCTATGTGGCCAATTTTGTTCAAATATTATATTTTGCCATGCAAAATTACATTCATTATAATGATGTAAAAAACTGCATACCTTGCAATACAAAATTCTTTCGACTGTTATTAAATAAAATAATAAGAAATATCTACTAAAAGTTATTTTTTGCAAAAACATTTCTTTGGATAAAAGAATTTTATAATTTTGTGCAAAGGTTTTTCAATTTGTTTTCAATTTTAGATTCAGATGGTTTTATTTAATTGTATTTTGGAGCTACAATGATTTGGCGGCATTTGTTTTAAAGATAACTATTTAATTCCTCAATTCTGCGCTTTTTAATGGTTTTCTCGCTAAACATAAAAATACATACTTTCTAAGTATGCAAATATTTCAAAATTATATCAAATTTCATAAACATGTGCAATATAAAATTTGATACAATTATCTCATAATACTTGTGTCTGTTGGATGGGTTTAAGGTGAATATAAACTTATTTTTCCTGTAAATGAAGCTAAAATCTACAAAATTGTTCGTTAATTTTTATGTAAAATCAAAAATAATAGCAAATAATTTATGGTAATAATCATAAAATAATACCAAGAACTTTAAAATCAGTTTTTTTCCTGAAAATTATGTAGTTGTAATTTCATAAACTTACTTTAATTATCACTTCCACATACAAAGAGACTACATTTGGTCTACTAAAATTGGGAAGACACAAAATATCTAGAATGAATTTCTTGTTCAAAAAGATAACAAATACATCATCTTGTAAAGGACCATTAATAATTAGCCTCCATAAATGCAGAAAAGCCACTTCTTTCTTATCTTCCAATGTTTTAGGATTAGAATACATCTCCACCATTTTGTTCCAGTGTAGAATAAGCTCAGAGCAGATACTAATATAGTGATCTAAAAAATTTTAAGAGAGTTCAGACAATAATTTTTATGTTAGAGAGTATGTAATAATTACATTAACATCAATTTTATCTAGTATAATAAATTAAAACTAAAATTAGTTCCATAAAATTAGATTATTGAGACCCAACTAAATCTACGTGATGAAATAAATCCTTATATTTAATTAATGTTTTTTTACTGTTTTTCAGTCTGTTAACAGCTTTTTACTAGTTAAAATTGAAATTAAACTAAAAAATTACTAATATTTATTTCTGCCCTTTTAAAACAATTTGTATAATTACTGATGAAAATAATAATAATTTTTATCACTAATATTAAAATTTTTTTCTCTTGAAACCTACTATACTGGAATAAAGAAACTTCAAATAAAATCGTCAAAATAATAAAATTTAAAACCTCAAAAGTAAAAAGTGATAATTTTAAAATTAACATAAAAACTTCCAAATCCTAATATAAATATTTGAGTTAAACTGGAGCTTTCATTCTAACAACAAGTAAATAAAAAAAATTTCTAGAAAACTTTTCAAGTTTAAACAAGGTTGACATGATTTAAATCCAATTAAAATTATTTCATATTTAAAAATCTTTGATTTAAAAAAACTATGATTTAAAAGAATAAAAAAAACTCAATTTTTATTTAAAAAAACTTAATTTCAGTCTAAATGTTTACACAGTACAATTGATAATTACATTCATTAGAGAAATGTGGTTTTCAATATCTGGTTTCATTAAAAATGAAGGTTTTGTACAAAGAAATGATAAAAAAAAAAGAAATTATATTTCAAAATAGACGGGAAAAAATTTATGAAAAGAGAGAGAATAAAAGTGAATACAGGTGGGACAAAACTTAAAAATTACAATTTTTCATTAACATAATGTAAAATAATTAGCTGGTAATTAACATATTTTAATATTGCCTACTTAGTTTCATGTGAATTTAAATACAAGTGCTTAAAAAATTATTAAATATGTAGTTAGTGTATATCAATAAAGAAGAAAAACCTGCTCTATCTAGAGAAACTTAAAATAAATGGGGTTTTTTTTCCACTTACATTTTCTGATCGGAACTGATTTATTCTTTGCTAGATAACCAAATGACAAATTGGCTCCCCAATTTTAAAATTCTTTAGAATGTGGAGCTTCAAAAAATATGACTAGCTATGATTTTTATTCAGCTATTGGTGAAAAAATAATTTTAACCATTTTAGTAAGAAATATTAATTATTTTTGATATTGTCGTAAATATAGTGAATATTTTAAAATTTTTATTAGATGATTCAGTTGGTAAAGGTAAAAATATACAAAAAATCTAAATGAAATTTTTAAAAAAAAAAATCTAATTTAAAAAAAAAAAAAATACAGGATTTTTTCCAATCATTTGTTTAAAACATGTAACAGTAAATACATTTTATTAAAATATAAATTTGTTTAGCCCTGAACAGCAAACATATATGAAATCATTCTTAACTCCAAAGGTCTTCAAATAGCTAACAAAAAAGTTCCCCTAATATGGTTGATTTACTACATTGGATTTCATACCATTATGGCACATTAAACGAAAAACTTTTGAAGCAGGTTTAGCCTTAAATGCTTTTAATTAATTGAGGCTAAACTGTATCAACTAGAATAGTAATACAAAAGCATGAACCTATTGTGTGCAAACAATTGAACTTGGAAAATTTGTAATAAAAAAAACATTTAAAATTAAAAGAATAAATATTTTAATTAAATCAAAGCCAAATGAGTAAGAATCAAAAGTAAATAAATTATTTAATTTTGATTTGCAGAAACATAGAATGGCAAAAATGTATGCAGAATATTCAATTCTTCTAAGAAATTTTAAAAAAAATTATTGTTATGTGCACAATAATTTCTTTTTCTTTGAATATTTTTTACAGAGTAGAAAGAAAAAGAAAAAACACGATAGTTTTGAGTGCTTTTAAAAAACAAAAGTTTAAACAGTAAGGATATTTTTTGATGTAACATGAAAATGTCATTTAATTAATTTAAAAAAAAAAAAAAAAAAAAAACATCCTGTATTCAGAAAGATAAAATGTATGCACAGAAGTTTAAATCTAGTACATTGATTTGAAGATTAAGACTTCAAATTTTGGATTTCTTTCTTCAGGTTTTTATCTTAATAATTTAACACAAAGATTCAAACTAAACAATCATTTTGGCATAAAAAAGAATATATTCCATTACATAAGGAATTAAAAATCAATCACTCACAACTAAAAAGAATTTTAAATGATATTATTAATTATATAAATGATGTTATTGATCAAAAAAAAATAAAATTATTTAAATAATTTTATACCTTTAGACAACGGCAAAGTACAGTTTACTATATTTTGACATTTACTATCCTCATTTTTGTTATGAGAAACTTTCAAACCAGGGCTAATGATGAAACTTAAAAGTTCAATCAGACGGATACATTTATTATCAGATGATTGCAACATTGAATTCTTTACAATGAAATTTATCCTTTCCCTAGTAATGAATAGTGGAGAACCATAGGAAATTGTTGATAAAGTCTTAGCAAATGACCATGACAAATGTTGATTGCCTGTTGTTAAATATTTGTCCACCTAAATAAGAGTAAAAATAGTTAAGGAAGCACAGAATTAAAAAAATACTAATTTAATTACTTTCATATCCTTTTCAATAATATATACAATGCTTTAAAAATTTTCATGCATATTTTTTAAACTCTCTTAGATAATAATAGTTGTCCATGCAAAATCACATTTGACCTTACTTAATAGTTATTTCTTTTGAATATCAAGAACAATAAAAGGAAAAATGTAAGAAATTAACTTAAAAGGACACTATACCACAAGAGAAGTTTTTCAAGGCACATCTTTTTCACCTACATAAGTAATTTAAAATTTATACTATAGAAAATTGAGTTCAGGTAAACCTAGAATAAACCCTGAAGTTTCAAATGCTGAAAAAAAAATTCTAAATATTAAATTGTAAACAAATTATGGCAGGATTACTTAGAATAGGGCAGCTAAGATCATGACATAATTTGTTTACATTTTGATAGATCAGACGGTGCTTACCAGCGGCCACCTTAAGTCTCTTTCTTTCAAGGGTAGTGTTAAAATCTTCCCATACTGCCCCAGGTGCCACAACATGCAGGCTTCTCCCCAACATATCCTGGACTGGACAAGAGGGACATTCTAGAAAACCCACTTTTGGTGGCCGACTTCCTCCAGGTCATGAATTTCATGAACACTGTTTAGCCCTGCTAATTTTGGGGATTAGGAAGAAGAAGACATTTTGATATTATGAATTTTCTTTTTTCAGCAATTAAAACTTTCTATATTCTAGGTTCTTCCGAACTAAATTTTTCTATATTTTAAATTACTTATGAAAGTGAAAGAGACCTTGCCATTGAGAATTCTTCTTGTAATATAGTATCCTCTTAAATGAAGCCTCAGTGTACCTTTAATGATTTTAATGTAACTTCTATGAAATTCTTTTTGTTTTACTAACAAACTTACATATAGTAGATCCCAGTTATGCAACACTTCAGTCATTTGATACGTGTTTCATTGTTATTACAACTCAAGATGATTGAATATGTTAACAGTTCACATCAAAAAGCTTTTATTTGACAGTTATTATTATTAGAGAAAGAATCAAGTGCTTTAAATTTAGTAGGTCTTACATGATATAAGATGTTATTTTAAAGTTTGTTGAACCCTAGCATAATTTAGGAGGGACAAAAAAAAAAGAGCATTTGAAAGAAAGTTCTATAGGATATCAAAGCTATAGCTCAACAATTAAGAAAGGAAGAAACTGCATCAGGAAACTAATGATGATGTGTAAGTTTAATGGCACTGTTATCAGAAATTCTATAGAAAAAAAATACATAACTAATTGCTTTTTTTTAATAATGAAAGGTAAATCCATATTTTTTGTTTAGCAAATGTTGCCAATTTCAAAAATTAAAACATATTTAAGTATGTTAAGCATTAATAATTCAATATTAGAAAAATAAAACATACCATGTAGTAAAACAAATCTTCTTTACAAAGAGCTCTGAATAATATTTGTATTTCTTTGCATATTCTTTGATATTTATTAATTTCTGCAACATACGTTTCAGCTAGTAATCTTAGCATGTTGATACATAGCAACTGACAATCTTTTTTTTCATCTGAAATATTTAACTTAATTTAGATTAACAAAATCTGGACAACATACATCATTATCATTTCCACTTAATACACGAAAGTTAAGGCACTAAATTAGGGGTGCACAACCTATGTCCTGTGGTCCACATGCAGCCCGCGGGAACTTCTGAACGCAGTAAAAATGTCTTTTTATTTGGTTTCTGTTCAAAACTTTATAAATTTTCTTTCATTAATCTATTTAATTCAAATTTATATTACTCTATTAAATACGTATTTTTTTTTTTTTTTTTTTTTTTTTTNTTTTTTTTTTTTTTTTTTTTTTTGCACCTTCATTCTGTAAGCTTCTTTTTGGTTAGAAATTATATCATCTTGATAAATTAATTATTGTGAAAAATGAAAAAAGTTTTTTTTTTTAAAAAATGTATCAGTGTTTTGAGTTTTAAATAAATTCAAATAATTAAAAGTATTTAATTTTCTACAAATATATTACTAAGTTCACTTGTAAAAATATCTGGTGCTTCGAACACTAATGTTTAGATAAAAATCCTCATATTTGCCGCTAACATGACTAAATATATGTGCCCTTTGTTAATCTATGAGCTGTGTAAGTGGCCCTTCACTGAAAAAAGTTTCGCACCCCTACACTAAATTGATAAAAATCAACAAAATAAACTCAATGTCAAAACTATACATAGAAACTCTAAAATATAGTAAGCCAACATAAAAAAGTTTAAAAAAATTCATAATTTTTTTTTTCACTTTTAATAAAAAAAGTAATTAAAAATATAATAACATTTTCTCTTATTTGTTTAATTGGCAAGAGTTTTAACTGTTTATATAATGTAATTGCTTTCATTTTCTTAAAAAAATTATGTTTATTAATTAGATAATAATAAATCAAAAAGTTGAGGAGAATTTCGCCTAAATTTTATCATTAATAGCTATTTAAATATGTGTTTATTACTGCAAAACTGTTTGAACAATATCTTGCCAATTATTGTTTATGTTTGTTTAGTAACATCAGTTTTCCTGGCCAGTACAAGTTTGTCAGCTATTCTAATGAGATGTTTATGTTTATTTCTCTTTACTAAGTGCAATGAGTTTTGTTTCAGTTATTACATTAAACATTAATAATAAAAGAGCTTTTTAATTTTTTTTTTTTTTTTAGATTATAAAATTGTACATACTAAAAATAAAATAAAATTGTAAAATACTTCGCACCTAAAACGATTTATTCATTTGAACCACTAATTATAAAGTGCTTTTTATTTATAACTAGTATTCTGATTATAAGTTTGCTTTTGTCAGGATATGAAATAAAGACATAATAACTTCAGTTAAAAAAAAATATCAAAAGAGTATTTAAAAAATACACCTTTCCCATAATATTTAAAAACAAAAAATATATCTTAAATATTAAAAAACATTATGCCCACCAAAAAGAGTTTAAAAATATTTATATCCAACATAATTTTAAAACGAACTACCAAAGCAAATTTTCAGTTTCAAATCTTCAACGAAATATTTTTACAAAATTGTTTCTTGGCTGAATCATGATTGCTTTTAAGCGTGATATTTGTTTTAAAATGAAATTTTCTTTATTTAGTCTTTTAAACACCAAAAATCGAGTGGCAATAATTAATTTGGTTATAAATTCTAAATAATCTTAGCTTCTTTGTAAGTAAAACTCATCTCTACAATGAGCAACATAGCACCTCTTACTTTGTAAGCACACAAGAAAAAATACATAATGAATTAAATCATAACAGATAATATTAGTGAGCATTGTGTTTCACTAATAAGAGTTACCAACCATCTGATTCTTCAAGACAAGCTTTCGAAATTTCAAGAAAAGTATTTGGATTTAATTTATAAGGGCACAAACACTTTTGTTCTTCTAAAGAATTATACAGCGATACGCTTTCGTCCCAGAAATTCTTATAATCCATATTGGAAGATTAAATTTTCCCTTTATTAAAATAAAAATAAGTACTGCTTAACACAGGAATACATTTTAACCTAATATGAGAACTTTTAAAAAACTTATTATCCTTAAAGCAAACAGAATTTATAATCCTAAATATCATGAATCCATATCATTAGGAAAAGGAAATTTTCCCTTTTCAAATAATCACAACAGCAAATAACTCCCATTTGTGCGATTTTGACTACTTATTTCTGTCTCGCTTAAAGTCTCTCTGTTGTGACCGTTCTCAATGATAGAATTTCATTTGCTTGCAATTGAGAACGTGAAGGAGCATTCTCACTGCGCAAATAATTGCCGCATCTCCATTCGCCGTCAATAAAAAAAATAGAGAGAGCCTAGTTACTGAGCTCTTATTAGTTTTGGTGAATATTTCGCTGCAAAATATATTTCAGAAAAAAGGTTATCATATGATGATAATATCAGTACAGAAATATGCATAAATAAACAAAAGGAAACTGATCTCAGAAATTTTTTAGTTTAAACGTTAATACCAGCTCATTGCTACTTAACCTACGATAAGCGATATTTTCGAACACATGATTTCGTTTTTATCAAAACATAAAAGTAAATAAGAATATGAATTAATTTTTTTATAATTCATGGTATATCTATTTTATTATTTGATTCGAGTAAATAAAGGCATTATCGTTTAGAATAATTTAGATTTTGATTTTTAAAAGACACATCATTACTATTTTTCATAGAAATTGTTAATTTATCTCTCGAAATGCATTTTTTCTGTCCACGCTGGCTCATACTCTAACGAATTATTATCAAAGTGAACTTTAAATTATGGAGAACCAGTTTAATTATAGACGGCTGAAACTTCAAGATACGCACTTTTCGTTAAGAACTGGTTTTTTGCTTTACAAAATGAATGAACTTTATTTTAGGATAATGATTTCCATTTTAATTCCAAATTTTTTCTTTTTCTTTAAATAAATTTTAGAATTATTTTGTAAACGTTTTTATTTATTCGCTTCAAAAGAATTGTGATTCCAATGTGAATATTTTTTTAAAATTTCTAAAATATTTAAGGGTATATTGATAGAATATACCCTACATATGGTTTTAAACTTTGTAAATTCCCATGTAGATGAATTCATTCTAGGTTATTGTCACTTTTATCCATAATAAAAGGAAGAGTTTGTCCGTGTGTCACTCTTATACTGCTTAAGCAAGAACACCTACTTATAACTCTTAAATTGCTTACGCTAGAGCACCAAAATATTTAGAGTGGTTGGAAGGAGCAATTTTAACTATCTATATCCTAAAAATCATCCGAAGATTTCAATTAAATCGTTTTGTAGTGACGTTTGAAAAATGGTATTTTTTTAATGCTTAGAAGCCGACATTGATGAAAATTTAACTACTAATGATTTCGCTTTAAGATAATATCAGTGATGTTTGCTTGCTTACAGTTATCTGGAGTTGTTGGCATGTTCTTTGACATTTAATCATTTTTATTCACTATGTCTGATAACGCATTCACCGACAGAAACATGTTAGTATAGGCAGACTATATTACCAAATTATTATTCCTAAAGCTCTGAATGTGTTAACTTTGTTATGCCTTTAAAACTTGTTTCTATAAGACTAATAATTTAAAACCAGAGGTAATTGAAATAAAAAAATATGTAGTAAAAAAATATGTAGTAAAAAAAAAATTATGAAGTAGTAATACTAATTGGTTAGGAGAAACGTAGAAGATCGGGATATGTCATTGACACCAATGATGCTAGATTAATTTTGGTAATAGAAAATTCTTGAAATAATAATTTAAGAAAAATTCTGCAGTCACCATTTATCCTAAAAAAACAAACGCTACCGGAAGTCTTGAGATCCTCTTCTGATGTCATAACATTAAAGTGACTATTTCCTTTTTTGACGCTGCGTATTTGTTTGTTTATACTCGGAATACTTAGTTTTTCTTAATTTAATTTTTGGGCCGTGATTTTGTGAAAAAATGTGTTCTTCATATTTTGAAATTTCATATAAAGATGTAAGAAAAAGTACTTTGGGAAATTGTCCTAAATTGATTTGCAATTACATGATAGTTAAGATGCGGATTTACGCAATTTGGTTTACACCAGCAGAAATTTTTATGGATGGGTGATCGTGCAAAGCTAAGAGTGGTGGCACTAGTGGTTAAATTGCTCTTTCCAGTCTTCCGGGTTACTGCTTCCGATATAATTTTACGCCGCAGATTGAAAAAACGCGCCATCATATTATTGCATCATATCTTTTGCAGTATTTCACATGTACCGAGTTCTTTCTTTCAGCCTTTAAACTTCAGCATTATCATATTAATATTATAATCATTAGAATATTTTCTCATCAGGCTAACTTAAAAAGATATTTTTAAGGATATTTTTGGCGACATTTTATTAAATGTAGCCAAATAAGGGATAAAATACAAAACATGGCAAACCTTAAGAATTATTCACAATGAGATATTAACTTTCCAAAATTTTTTTGGCCTTAGGACCTCTGAGAATCAATACATTTCTGAAAGCTCTTATGAATGGTACAATTATGTTTAGATTTGAACCCAAATTACAGTAACAAAACTGCATAGAATATTAGGCTTGTTCACACATCGCCTCGTAGTCATAACATAAGCGGAGGGATACACCGGAAATTTTCTAAACTTCTTCCGGTTTAAGGACGCTTGTTATTGTTTACATTAGGCCACCCATCCATACCTGAATCTTATACCGGAAGTTTAAACAACCTCTACAAATACTGACCCCTACCGTGGAAAACATGAAACACGGTCGAGAATAAGGTGAATTAAAAGGCAAAATTAATAAAGAAATGGTACTATAAATTGTTTATGATAGAAGTAAAGAATCGCTTTACCATTTTTGACATCAATGATATTTATTTAATTTTGTAAATAAGTTTTTACTGAAATAAAAAAAATACAAGCTACTGTAGTAAAAAACAAAATCGAGCAATGTTACTTAGTGATTAAAAGAATAGTAAAAACTCGCCATGCGGTTATTGGCACCATTGATGCTTAATTTTTTTCGTAATTAGTAGCAATTGAAATAGTAAAATAAGCTACTAACTCGAAAGCTTAATGGAGAAATGGTACTATAATTCATTTGGAAGAAAAGTACATAATTATTCTACTATTTTTGGAGCCAATTAATTTTGGCAATAAAAGTCTAATTGAAATAGAAAATGAGCTAATCATTTAAAATATAGATTGTTGAAGAAATGGTACTAATTTGTTCTGAAGAAGCGTAAAAGACTGCCATACTATTATTGACAACTATTTTGCTTAATTATTTTTACTAGTATGTATTACTGGAATTATGGGAATTGGGGAAGTTTCATTGGGTACAATTTATACTAATATAGATAAAATGCATTATATTAATATATTTAATACCAATTGAAGCCAATCAAAATTGTGCAGTTAATATTGATAGATAGAAAGCGATTTTGTACGTCCCCTCGAATAGATAAGTATCGAAGAAAATTGCCTGATTTGGTAAATTTTGACTATCCTTTAGTATTTATTTCCGTTGGATAACTAAAAACGTATTTTGACTAATCTAATTACATAAAGCCACCGGATGTGATTCCATTAGTGAAAATTATGGCTACATATTAAACTTTCCTAAATATCTTTTGAGTGACTTCACCGTTTGGTAGGACGCTTTTTGGTGCACATTTCTAATATTTCTTTGATCTTTTTGCGATATTTCCCATCCCTCTATATTGGGTTGTTTGCAGCAATATCGAAAAAAAACTCGTTTTTTCATTGTTTTAACGTGCACTGTCATGCAAAAACGATCGTCATAAAATATTTAAAAAAATAGAAAGGCAAACGAAATCTCGAGAAAAAATTAAACATTCCTGCACATAAGTTTAAGTGTAGAAGTATGATCAAGAGTTAAAACAAATTTTCAGGCCAACATAAGCAACATAAGTTACCGTAAGGGGCAATTGGGTACTTCTACTTCAAGAAGATAACGGATACCCACACATGTGGGACCTTTGACGTCAGCGCCAGCGGATTGTTTATGAACAAACTGGTGTGTTAAAGTTGAGCTAAGTTTCTCCACACAAATTAGAATGTTAATTAACATGAAGTTAATTAAATACAGTGCTGTTAATTAAATACAATTCTTTCTCGTCTACATCCTCTGCTTAACTTAACTTTATTATCTGTCTATGCATTTTACTGTAACCATGATATATTTTTGTTTTGTGAACCTGTCAACTTCGATGCATAATTAGTTTGTTTATGCTCTACATGGCTTCATGCCTGTCCTTATTTTAATTAAGAAATATATAATGAAGGAATTGAAATCTCTGTGAAAGAATATAGAATGTATTTAAGACTTATTACCTAAGATCCATTACATATACTTAAGAGAATTGAATCATGGCGGACTTGGCTAACTCAAAATTGAATGGAAAGAACTGTTGCTAACTTAAACAAATGCCGCGTTTTAACAACCAATCCGGATTGATACACTCACATTAACACACTTGCAGCACTTATTGTAAACATAAATGTGCTTCTTCATAATTGTTCAGACGGCATTTCAATTTCAAGCGCTTACATTTATTATGCTGTAATAAAACTTTTTATAACCATCTATTAAAGATAATAATTAGTTGAAAACATCTTATTTAAACACGAATTTTTAATTCGCAAACTTTATTATCCTTTAAATGAAAATATCATAAACTTTATCAAAAAAACATTGGTACTTATCGGTTATAGGACTATGGCCGCCAACAAGTAGAACAAATAGCGCCTATTTCGTATTTACACCAGTCATCGTTTACCTGTGTCATGGTGTGTGATTATACACCGAAGAGCCATTGCATTATGACCACCTGCTAATAACATGTAGGACCACCTTTATCCCTCAAAACTGCTAGAACCCACTGTGGCATTGATTCCACAAGGTACTGATAGGTAGTCTGAGGTATCTGGTACCTAGCGCTCACCAACTGGTCCTGCAATCTCACATTGCAAGGGGGTAGCGTGGCAGCACGAATTTGGTTTTCCAAGTAGGACCATGCTCTATTGGATTAAGGTCAGGTGAATTTGGGGGTCAAGACATGACTTGAAAGTCACTGGAATGTTCCTCGAACCAATCCATGACGATTCGACCCTTATGATACGGTGCATTATCCTGTTGGTATACACCATCCCACGCAG